ATGTATAGGTACGATGAACGCCATCATATGTATATCTAAAATGTCCCAATAAATTATTAAAAATATACATGGGTCTAAGTTTCTCCACTTGTACAGGGACAAGAACTTCATCCAAATGATTAGATGAATCCTTCCATTTCAAAATCATCAGTCATAATTCTTCAGGATGACATCAAATTGTTTTGGTAACAATGACCTTTAACTGGAAAAATATCCACATGTTAAACAGCATATTTCTCCAATAACCATTCACCACAGTAACACTGGTGAAGACAGGACTGGGATTTACCCCCACCCAACGCCACCACTTCATTTGACCCTCAGCACAACAAACCCATCACTACCTACTTAATAATTTACTTACAGAGGAAATGGGTAAGCCCAGCCCCACTATGGTGAGGACAGTGGATGTGACGGTACTGTCATGGTACGGGTACTGGATGCTGCTGTCTTTACAGAAAAAGCCTCTCTGAAATGGATATATTTGGCCCAAATTTAGAACAGCCATAGGCATGGAAGCTGTTGGGGGAAGGGAGAAAAAGACACAGATGGTTAAATTCAGTTCACTTAGGAAGTAAAGTCTACTGAATGGGATGCAAATCTTAAAATTATTTTCTCCTTTCTGGAGAAGTCTACATACTCCATAATAACCAAAAGTAAAAGCTAAGGAAACCATGCCGCATTTAAGAATAAATTACTTTACTTGCATTGACCTCTGATTTTAGAGACAATCAATAAAAGAAACTCCCAGGGAAGACAGCAAAGTTGACCCCAGGAAAATTAATGCTGAAAAAACAAGATCTTATGTCTTATATTTTATAGCTAAATCATATTTAACTGACCTGCTTAATATCTTAAATACAAAAAGGCAAAGGTCTACAAATAAATTTAATAATAGCATAACAGTCAAATGTAGTTAAGTAACTATCAGAATTTGCTTGACATAAGAACTTAAACTAATAGCTAAAAGAAAATTAGAAACTTTAAGTATAAATAATAAAAACAGAAAGAAAAGAACATATCCTTTGTTTTCCAAAGACAACAAATGAGTTTTATTAGCCTTGGCAAACCTCCCAAAACCACTTTAATGAGTTATAAGGGAATAATTACTCTTGAAAACTTCCACCTAAATAAGACCCTGAAAGACCAAAGTTAAATAATACAGCAGCCTCTTTGTGGTTGTGTTTGTGTTGTGTTGTGTTGTGTTTGTTTTGTTTTGGAAACAGGGTTTCACTATGTTGCCAAGGCTAGTGAACTCAGGACCCTCATGCCTCAGGTTCCCACAGAGCCGACTATAGTGGTGCCCAATGCACCAGCTTCTTGATATATTCAAATTTAACTTGCTCTAGGCTTTGCTTTGTAAAAGTCAAACATCTAAGCATCTACTCGTTGAATACCCAGTACCAAGCTAAACTATACAGGGGGAAGCAAACCACTGTGAACCAGATACTACATTTAAGACCTGAAGGTGAAGGTATAAAAGCAGGATGCACACTCGATAACTTGTTTTCAAATAAATACCAATAATAGGTAGCTTGGTGGTATAGTGCTTCTGTGACATGGAGGAAGTCCTGGGTTTGATTCCCAGTTTAAAAAGAAATTATGTGTGTGTGTGTGTCTGTGTGTGTGTGTGCACGTGTGCACATGCGCACCTGTCTTAGGGGGAAAGATTAAACTCTTCTGTATCTGATTGTGATACTTTCACCAATATTTTTAATTATATGTAGTGTTTCGAAAGAAATACTATTAAAGGCAGAATACAAAATAAAAACCAGAAATATGACTATTCAAAAGGCATACAAGAACCTATAAGGGATTCAGAAGTCAATGTAAATTGATAGCATTATAAAAGTCTAATAAAGGAGAATCAACCGAGCCGAACCTGAAACAGCAGGAAAAGCCCAGGCAACAGGGCAGGACGCAGGAGAGCTCTCGGTGGCCGAGGATGCAAGGGCAGCGTGACAACTGCACCACAGAAGCCAGAGGGAATGTCACAGCCAACACGCACTGCATGCTCGCACACGCCAGGCACAGGCTACGCACATCAACTCAGCCCTGACCTTTAACCAGAACGCTCATTTTTGCTAAAGTTATTATTTAAGTTTAGAGAAACTAAGAAAAGTGCTGAGGTGCTAGAACCAGCACTCCTGCACAGGCTGGCTCCAGCCAGTGGGCGGATCTCCTCCCGCGGACACAAGCATCTGCCCGAGCAGCAGGTTAGAGCTGCAGCCAGCCAGACAGCACTGGGCCGGAGGGAGTGGGCCTTGTCCTTTAAAAGGCTTCTGCAGTAAAATATATGGTCTGCTCAAAATAAGAACTCAAGCAGACCACTATCCTCGCTGCAACTTGTCTCTGCACTCTCCAACTTTGTGGTTTTCAATGGGAGTAAGGAGGTATGAGTTTGGCATGTTTATTAAAGGATTATGAGTTTAAAACCACTGACCTCCAGAAAAAATTACCTTTGTTTTTTGCTAGGGGGATTTAAACTCAGGATCTCACACTTGCCAGGCAGTCCCTGCGCCACTGAGCTACACCCCGGTCCCAGTAATTTATCTTGTAAGAAATAAAGTGTCACCATCTTGCTCTGGTCAGCAACATAATACAACGAAATTTTAGATATTAACTTCCAAAAGAGAGAAGAAAAGGAAATATTCAATCCAGTTTTGAACTGGGCCAGAAATCAGTTAGTATGCCGACAGTCAACACACCAAACTATGCAGAGGAATGAAGACTTTTGAAATGACACTACTCAGATACTGGTCACAACTGCTGAGGCAAACCTGAAGACGACATTTCAGAGTGTGACACAAAGAAGAACTGTCCCAATTATAGAAAGGTGAAGCTGCAAGAGCGAGCTATTCGCTCAGTCCTGAAAATGCTGGCTCCTGGGAAGCTGGGCACCTCTGCCCAAGCGCCTTGCCTCATCTTCCACGCCGCCCCGTGCGGACCTCAGAGCTCAATCACGTGAAACACCGACGACTGCTCACACTACTACATTAAAACCCTCGCAGCCTTCGTATTTGCTCAGGCTTGTGGTGAAGAGAGGCTTCCTCGGATTTCTCCTCCAAGTCCAGGTCAGGCAGCCCTTCTTACACTCCTTGGCATCCAGTACGGAAGTCTTTAAGACAGATTTCAAATTGCTTTCTACACATCTGTCAGCACCTCTGAGAGTGGAGGTATAGGTTAGAGGGGTATCGCCATCCCTATAAACAGATGCCTCTACTCCCCAAAGAGAATATTCCTTCAGCATATTCTTTATCTTTTATAGAGATCTGTAATAGTAACACTATAGGGTAGAAAAGAGTTTCATGTTAAAATTAGTATTATATGAAGGTTCTCATCATGAAAACTTACACAGGATAGTTACAGTCCTTGTTTTGGGTTTTTTTTTTGTTTTGTTTTGTTTTTTTGGCAGTACCAGGGATCAAACTCAGGACGCTGCACTTGCCAGGCAGATGCTTATGCCACTGAGCTATATTCCCAGCACCAGTCCTTCTTAATATCTATTTTATTATTGCTGTATCCTTTGCATCATGCACAAAATTAGATCTGAATAAAAAATGTAGTGAGTGACTAAATGAATAAAATTTAGGGCAAAGGTTACAAGTAAAAAGACAGGTTAAGTTGTTAGCATTAGAAGTATAGCTGAAGCCAAAAGAATGAAACCATTCTTAGAGAAAGAGTAAAAAATATCAAAGAGCAGTAAGTCAAGGACTAAAATCCATAATGAGATCAAAGACAGGGTAGGAAAAAGATGAAGAATGGTGGCTGATTACACCCTTCAAAAGGCAGGAAAAGTGACTATATCCATCAGCAGTTTACATCCCGTAAATAAAAGCATGAATAAAAAAGGACAATGTTGTGATACAAAAACCAAAGCTTGAAGTATCTAATTCCCAGCTAAGTCAGTAATGGCAAGCCTTTAAGAGCTCTCAATGGTAACGAACAACCTGCCACTATTGATCTAGGTAAATGTAGGCTGTTAAATGCTAATGACGTCTAAGAAAAAAAGACCATCATTAGTGACTTCTAATCATTATACCATGTCCACTAACACATCAACTGCAGCTTTATGAAGACACATCAAGGCTGAGCTTCCATACTAGATTGTCATTACCTAAGCATTGTTTTCTTCAGGTTAAATATGCATGTCACAATGATGTCCTCTGTTGATCATATGTATAACACACACACACACACACACACACACACACACACACACACACACACGGGCAGAGGAGTATAGGCATCCCTATAAACAGATGCCTCTAATCCCCAAAGAGAATATTCTAAAAAAATAGCATATTTTTTTATCTTCTATAGAGATCTGTAATAGTAACACTTTAGGGTAGAAAAGAGTTTCATGTTAAAATTAGTATTATAGGAAAGTTCTCATCATGAAAACTTTCACAGGATAGTTATAATCCTTTGTTTTTTGTTTTTTTGGCAGTACCAGGGATCGAACTCAGGATGTTACAACAGCCAGGCAGATGCTTATGCCACTGAGCATAAGCACCAGTCCTTCTTAATATCTAAAGGACATGATAAACACCAGGGAGATAGCTCAATGGCATAAATGCCTGCCTGGCACGTGCAAGGTCCTGAGTTTGATCCCTGGTACTGGAGGGAAAAAAAAAAAAAAAAGACATAATACATTTTTACTCTAACTATAATTCTAGGATAATTGGAATTAAGATTTCCTTAAGAGAACTAATTTAAAATTATACAATAGGGCTGGTGAGATAGCTCAGTGGACTAAGCACCTGCTCCGGCAAGCACAGGGACTGGGGTTCAATCCCCTGCCAAACATGGTGTTCCAGCCCCACCCCCAGGGTGGGCTGAGCCATCCAGAGAGATGAGGTGTGGTGGTGTACACCTGTAATCCCAGCACTGGGGGGGATGAAAACAGGAGGATCACTATGAGTCTGAGCTGTGTAGTGAGACCCTGTATCAAATTCACTAAAAATACATATATACAATAATCTGCAATAATCTCATATTGAACTTTCATCTGTCACAACAGATTTACAATAGTTCCTGTATGCATATTGCTATCAGAAAGCAATGTTCTATTTTTAGAATTTTATTAGTCCTTTTCACATGCATAATGATCACATTTAACATACTTTGTACCTACACATGACCTTGACTCCTTTTTTGCCCATTTCCCTTCCCACCCTTCAACACTTCTACCCCTCATTTACAAATGCTATTTCCATTTTTCCCTTTTACTCTATTTTTCCCTTTTCTCTTCCTTCCCCTGCTCCCTCCCTTGTTCCCCTTCCCATTTGAACATTTTCTATTTTCCAATATCTATCAGTTTTGCTACTTATTTAATTTTTGGTTTCTCACAGAGAACCTATGTGGTATGTAAACATAGGGGTCCAATTTATTTCACTTAAAAGTATGGTCACAGGGCACATGTCTTTACCTAAAAATGTCTCAAATGAATCCATCTTTATGGCAGAATAAAGATTTCTCCATTGTATATAAAAACCACATTTTCTTTATTCATCCAT